GAATAATTTGGAAATATTCGACTATTCGAATATTTGAGTGGTCGAGTATTCGAGAGGAACCGATTATTCGATTATAGGTGGATAATTTTTTCATTCGAATGATTCGTTCATTCGACGATTTGGAAAAATAACTTATTCGAACATTCGATTATTCGAGAAGTTTTGAGAACTGCAGTTCGAATATCCGAATTAATTAATTCGACTATTACGTTTGGATATTTGAATACTGCACGCGAGTGTTCGAAGACTGCATTCAAAAATTCCATGATATCCAGTTATTCGATTCGATCAAGTTCAGATATTCGTATATTCGTTCATTCAAATCTTGAAATGCTCCCATATTCGAATATTCGGATCCGAATAATATAAAAATCGGAAATTGAATAATATTCGTTCATTCGAAAAATTTTCGTAAATCAATCATTCGATATTCATTCGTTCGACAAAATTTTCAAAAATCAATCATTCGATACTCGTTCATTCAATGAAAATTTCCGTTCGTTACAATTACAATCCCTATTTTGCTGCCCGTTTGTGATATGAGTATACGTAAATGTGCGCTGCATAGCGAAAGGTTTGCTGCTTCTTACTGTTTCTATGGATTTCCCAGAAAGTTATAGCACGTCAAAGTGAGAAATCGCAAATCGGCCATTATTTTTGCATCAACCTAATACTTTATAACACGATCTGAAAAAAAATCTCTAATATCATAAGCACAGTGCCCCCTACTAAACATCTCTCTAATAGAAGACTTACAGGGGAAGGATACTTGGATGCCGTAGCCATTCATAATGATTTGTATACCAAAAAATGCGCTTTTGAATACTGGTTCGTAGACTGTCTTTCATATCTGCGAAACGATAATCTGAATGGAGTTATGATTTTTTTCATTGAAAAAATTGCGTTCCTGCGGAGGGTCAAAGTCATCAACAAAAAATTTTTCTCTCCTTTCCAAATGCTGAGTATGATCCAGATAGTCTAAATAAATATTACTCGTCTGAAATATTCTTCAGTAGCATCAAACGGTAGGCTAGATCAAATCTGGTGATTTTTACTATCCAGAGGTAGGCTAAATTTTCAAGGAAAAAAGTTCATAACTTTCTTCAAAAGATCGTTTCGCAGATTTCGAGCACAGATTCAGAATCTGCATTCGAAGGCGCATTTTTTAGTATACAAATCATTAGCAATGGCCGCGGCATCCAACTATCCTTCCCTTGTTAGAAGACTTCTGGTAAGAAGACGAATTTGCCATTTTTTAGCCTCTGCGGACAACTGGTCTTCTTGCCATGTTGTTGCATGTCTTTAAGCACCAGTAATCCACGGAGGCGGCCCAAAATGGCGGAGCTCGTTCTTCTAACCCAACGATTTTTCGCTGCTGATTGCTCAAGAAAAAAGAGGTTGTTGCTCAAGACTTTCAGACGATAACAAAAGAACAGATGAAAAGGAAGAGCAATGCCTTTTGGTGAATCACCTCTTAACCCAAAACCTTTGCAAATATATAAAGTTGAAGACTAGTTGGGTGATCAAGTACAATCACACTTATGCCATGAAATCGTAGCTTAAAATCCGGTTCTTTTCTTCTCTTGCTGCAGAACTTTAGGTCAGAAATCACACAATCGAAAGCAACACGATCTCTACGCTTACTGCCAGTCTGTGAGCCGTATTACACTTTACTCCTTTGGCACGTTCATACTACAAGAAACTATGGTGCTCGTGGAGTTTTTCAAGTTCACCGTGAAAAGAGATCTTTTAAATTAATTCAACGATTCATAAAATTATCTTAACCACCTCTAAAGGAAAACAATTCATCTGAGTCTTCCGCATGTGAACTTTTTTCAGAAATTTCGTTCTCTCCCCCCCCCCCCCCCCCCGACCACTTTTCCCTCCGCTACTGTTTAAACTTGCATTGGTCGAACCGAAAGGTCTCTTGCATCTATTCAAAAAAACGTAGCCCATTCCTGTCACGACAGTTCTTGGCGATAATATTGTTTGAAAGAGAAAGTCATGTACTTTCTCACCATTCCTGCTTACTCTCTACTAAGTCCTCAGAAAGAAAGAGACAAAAAGAGGAGAAAGCGAATAGATAAAAATGTAAACAATCACTCAAAGTGTGCCGATTTGAAACAGATCCGTTGAAAATTTAAAAACTTAGCAGTAAAATCCAAATCAGCAAATAACATGAGTGTTATGAACTCCTTGTTCTGATGGCGAAGTCTGTTGATCGGGCTTTTCCGTTTAAAGTTGTGCTTCGGGAGAACAGCAGAAAACAGGAAAATTGATTTTTCCGCGTTTATCTCAAAATTTATTACTTCCGATGAAAGCTAGAATAGCACGAACCTGTTTAGTTAGAAAGAAAGTCAGAAAGCTTGTGCGGCACTGACTGTTTTGGTTTAATGTCCAGTTTTTAAACTTATAAAGGGCCTGCTCATACCAAGTTTTGATCTCCTTCTTTCATTTTAAGCTATCATGTAAGTAGGTGTACTCTTTAATATTTTTCGGAAATGGTGCAACAAAACATTCGTTTTAACCAAAATAAAATAGCCGTTTTTGCTCTAACTCTCATTGTATGCGCTAGCAATTTTACTATCTAGCAAGCATGTCCATCTTTACCTTTGGCCACGTAAAAATGCACATTACTGACTTTGACTTCATTGGCATCAATTTAAGATTGAATTCGATGTGACCAGAAACAGTCATACTCCTTGGACAAACTTTATCGCGTTCGCTCATTACCCTTTATCTGCTACCAGATGGCGTTATCAGTAAAATTACCGACTTCGCAACTTCGACATTGATTTAGTGTCCCCACCTATCACCTTGAACACTGAACAAATTTACGGCTGCGCAACTCATTTTTTTTTCTACACACGTTTGTTCAGAATGCTGTTCGTCCTTTTACTTTTCTTACCCGGACCACTGGAAGCGAAGATTCTTGGATCCAGCAGCTCGACGTCGCGTGGCTGTGTCGAATGGAGACACCATGACGCCTTGGACGGTCAATTGGTTTGACGTCAAGCTCGATCATTTTACATATTCCGACACTCGTACTTTCCAGATGAAGTGGGTGAAGTCATTTGCTTTATGATTGAAAACTCCAAATTCAATCATTTTGCTGTTTAAATAATATAATAGCTCACAAGGGAAAGATTCCAACTTACAATCTCTAGAAAACGACGCATACACTCGTTTTCAGCTCGAAAAGCTAATTCCAAATATGCCATTCGTAGCTGCTGAGCTTCATTCTGAAGCGACTTATACTTTTTAAATTTATGAATGAAATATTGCTTATTATGAGGCAGCTCCGCTCCCAGAAATCAGTAGGAAAAGGGAATGGGTTGATAGAATATCAGCATTTGAGTCTTTTCGTTAAAAGAGGAATTTGACGCAAGGGCAAAAGCACAGAACGATGGTACCGTAATATCTAAAACTCGACAAAAGCACATTTTTTACATAAATAAGCCAGATTGATGCTCAACGGCTAGCAATCTTCGTATTTGAAATCAACTCCTGAAGGTTAATCCAAATTTAAGTCTGAATGAGTAATTTTTCAGTGTTAGAATTGAATTGTCATCAATGCGGTTTTGTCCATAATATGCACAGCTTTATTAGGTTGTCCCAAAAGTTCTGCCATTTCATTTTTAAAAAATGTTTTGCGACTTTTCGCTATTTTGACGGGTTTGCTTTTTTGTAATTTTGTTAAAATGAAAAGGTCTTTTTCCTGTAGTTGTTTAGTAGTTGTATTTTAATGAGCTTTTACTATACCCTCATTGTAGAGATGCATGGAAAAGTAAGACCACCCAAGCTTCGATCGTTTTAGCTGTCGCAAAGAATCTAGGATCTTGCAAAAAAATCTGAAATCGTCATTGCATAAGTTTATGATGCTTTCTTTGTAGCAAGGAAAAATTGTGCCGTTTGGGCAATTCTGCGAGAAGTTGTGATCTCAAAAGTGAAGAATTAATCAATTCTGACGTTTTCTATTGTGAACCCGAAATTTATAACTTTCCGCAGAAACGTTAAGACAGCACAATTTCTCACTTACAAAAAGAGGTTATAAAAATTATGCACTCACGTCAAATTTTTCCGCCGCTTTTCAGATTGTTTGCGATCTAACTCAAAATGAGAAGCCTAAACGATATTCCTTTTACTTTTTTATTTCTGCACTAGTGCATAGTAGAAGCTCGCCAAAACACATCTAGAAGGGGAAGACCTCTTCCTCCCAATAAAATTTAAAAAAAGCCAATCCTTCAAGATAGCAAAAAGCTAGAAATTTTCAAAAATGAAACGACAAAACTTTGGGGGACAACTTAATATCTCTCTGAAAGCAATGTAGGTTGCATGGTGCACAACAAACAACAAGGCCGTTAGGCTGAATTAAGAATCACTTCGGAAACATAATAGTTTCTATCGATTTTGCTTGAGGAAACTGTCATTTGTTTTCTACGGAAAGTCTTCCTGGCTTTGAGCAAATAAGGTAATATGTTAGCAAACCTGTTAGCCTTTAGCAAACAGACAGGCATTCTAGCTGACTCAGCCTTCTTTATCATGTCTTCCGAAGCTTATCAACTCCAAAATGACTGAACTACGTGATTACATCAGATCTTTTAATCATGTACAAATTCTAGTCAAATTCAAAGTAACAAAAACGAGGGAGAATGCCTACGACATAGGCCTACGAAGTTTGAAACTGATGTGTCTCACGACTCAAACCTCTCAATGTAAACTATTTTGATGCTAAGCTCCTTTATTCCAAATACATACTGTAGTTAAGAAATCCGTAATAAATGCAAAGAGCTGCAATACATTTGAATTTCTGGAACACGGCTGCTGATAGTTCAGAATTTAGATTTAGGATGAAATTCTGCATGAATTTGATTAGCATACATACTTGAACACATTATCGTTTCTAGAGTTGAGCTGTAGCGAGTTGGCGATGAAACGATCTCTCAGTTGTATCTCAACAGTCAACTTTAACATGAAAAATTGATAAGCTACTTTATCAGATGGTAAAAGGTGACAACCTCATTTACTACAGATGGCTCTTGAACAACACCTGCTATAAGCCTGGAGGCCCAATATTCTTTTATACGGGAAACGAAGGCGATGTTGAAGGTTTCGCAACAGCTACTGTAAGTGCACATATTTTTTTCCAAAAATGGTAAGTGTTGTATTTTGAGAGTATGATGTGGGATCTTGCCCCAATGTTCAACGCTGCAATAATCTTTGCCGAACATCGCTTTTACGGTGCAAGTCTACCATTCGGGAACGAATCGTACTCGGTCAGTTGCCGGAAATGAATACTTGTTCTTATTGCAGACTTATAATCCTTCAGAGCATTAGAAACATGGGATATTTGACGTCAGAGCAAGCCCTCGCAGATTTCGCAGCTCTCTTGTTTGCCTTGAAGGTCTTGAGCGATTGCAATGTTGACAAACTAAATGTCAGGGTGACTTTAGACACCCAATAATGGTATGTCGGTATCATATCCTAAAAACACAACAGTAATAGCTTTTGGTGGTTCCTACGGTGGAATGTTGTCGGCATGGTTCCGTATTAAGTACCCTCATGTCGTTACCGGGTGAGTTTTGAGTAGAAACATCACTCATGGCGAGGAGACATCAAAAAATCTTTTTAGTGCCTGGGCTGCGTCAGCGCCGTTGCTCTATTTTAGAGGAGGAAATGTTGACCAAGGAGCTTTCGATGCCATAACAACGAATACATTCGTGAATGCTGGCTGCAATAGATACATCGTAGCACATAGCTGGAATGCTATTCTAAATCTCTCATCAACAGGTGAAGTTACTGCAAAACCTGCGTCCTGAATTGTTTGTGCCAGCGCCGTTCAGCTTCGTTCCAGCGCTGTGCTAGTGCCATATCGATCACCGATGCTGGAGCGGCGCAGGCACAGTGAGCACAAATACAACTCTGGACGCTGCTTAAATGATAAGATATTTCGACGAAGTGGAAAAGAGGATATTATCTCCAATTTACGTCACTGTACCGGAATAATAAGTATCATTATCGATTTCACGAGATTATGAGCTTGCATTCTAGCGTGTTGATGTCCAGTTTCCAACAACAAAAACTTGTCCAGCTACTGTAGAGACTGAAGTGTTAGAATCGCAACCAGCATAGCATAAAATCCAATGTGTTAGACAAATGGGTTCCTCAACAATTTTGCCATGGAAGTACAAGACAATGGTGCTGAGCAATTAAGCTCCTTGTAAGTTAATCAAGGTGACAGACATACAGAGTGTCCCAAAAAGATATCACACTTTTTGATCGTTAATAACTTTCATGCTCTTGCGTTTTTTACCGAGCTTGAGGTATTCTGTAGAGTTCAACTTGGATTTGCAGTATAAAAGGGATCATCAATCACTTCGCTACTGTAGGATTACGGTATGAAGTTTCAGCATACAGCGTCACTATGAAATAGGCCCTTTGATGAAACAATTTCGAAAAAATCTAAAAATTTGTGTAGCAAGGTTTTCAGGCGTGCTAATCACTACATAACTTTCCACCAGTTTTTGGAGCTTTCTTGTTGGCGTATTCACATTTCTGACCAACATTGTAAAATCAGTTGTTACCCTAAATCTAAAATAACTCATAAAAAACCAGTGTGCTAACGTAAAATTTTCATATTTAGAATCAGCGACTTCAATTAGGCCACTTCAAGAGTTTCTGGCTTGGTTGGCTTTTTTTCCGAGGCAGAATACTTTGGATTGCTCAAATCCTCCTCGAAGTTTTTACAGTAATTCCACATTTTATTAATGAAGAGCGATTGAAAAATTCCTCTATACTATAAACCTAAGTTGAACCTCGCTCTACAGAATGGCACCCCAAGCTCGGCAAAAGACATGAAAACAAGAATTATTAGCGATCAAACACTGTGCACATCTTTTTGGGAAACCCTGTACATCGCATTACTGTATCAACCATTTACTCTTTTCACTATAGTCCCTTACTAATTTCAATTCATTCATTTTCAATGCGAAGTACTGGTTAGCTAAGAATTCGGAAGTACTCGAAAAAATTTGTGGATTTTTTGAGTGAAAATTTTGGTTGCCTCGCAAAAAACTATCAGAAATCTCACTGGACCAGAATACCTTTTACTTGAATAAATTTACAGTTGAGTAGTTTTCCCGCTTAATATAGTGTGCTTGCACAGAAGGTGAAATGCGGTGAAATTTGCGCGTGAACAGTTAGCCACGCCAGTACTGCGGGCATCTTGCGCGCGCAATTAGCCGGCGTCACAGTCGAAGCTATTTCTTCACACGCAAATTTTACCGCATTTCACCTTCTGTGCAAGCACACTATATTAAGCAGAAAATCTACTCGACTGTATGTTCAAACCCTCTTAAATGTGTCTCCAATTCTTCCAGCTGAAGGACGAGGTTTCCTCAATACTCAGTTTAATATTGATCCTAAATCAAAAATCAATTCATCAGCTGATGGATAGAATCTCAATTACTACTTCAGGTAACATCCATAGGGAAGCGCACTAGCATTAATCATTACAAGATTTTAGGGAAGCAATCGAATACATGGCAATGGTTGACTATCCATATCCCACCGGCTTTCTTGAACCGCTTCCTGCGTGGCCCGTTAAAGTATGCCTCATTATGTTGACGGATTTTTTCAACTCTGGCGATTTTCTAAGTGTAAACTTGTTTTCAGGTTGCCTGTACATTTATGAGTACTCCCGGTGATTCATTCAGCGACAGAGATTTGGCGGCGCGAATGTATTATGCTTATGTTTACTACAATCACACCGGCTCATTAAAATATAACTGCATTGATCCAAACGTTTGCGGAGATCCAGGAACTTCCGGACTTGGTGACGCTCAGCTTGGATGGCCTTGGCAGGTACGGAGATTTTGAATCAAAGATTTTTCCAATAAAAATGAAATGACTTAAGGACTAGTGAGGTAATGAATTGCGGTAATGTTAGGAATAAAAATTAAGTGTATGTAAGTCGGAATTGGTTGACACTGATGTTTGGAGCACTCCTAACGGTGATTGCTTGACTGCGGAAATAATGTCGCAGAGACCTCAGCGACAGACCTGTTGTTACGATCCGTGGGCTCACGCTGCTTCTTGAGAGGTCAATCAACAAATCCAGTGTGCGACGTCAAGGTTTGAACGTGAGCCTTTAATGCTCCCTAGCTTTCGAGTTCAACCTCATCTTGATTTCAATCACAATTCAGCTTTATAGCGTGGCTCAAATTCACTAACTGATCTAATACAAGATATCTACAAATCCAAGACATCTACGAATCCGAAGAGCATCCCTCAACTATTTTCAAGGAAAAGCAGGAGCATATCGCGCTGCTTCAATTCATTTTCAAAGATAATAGCGACAAAAGTCGAACAAGCGCTGAACTGAGGCCGCCGTCTTATACAGTCAGCGAGCTGCCAAGAAGCCAGCGAAGTTTATTTATTTATTGCATAGGGAAGTTCCTATGGTAGAACAACAAACAACAAAAAAAGAAGTAAAACTGCACAATAAAACGACATTGCTAAACTAAACAACATACAGAAAGATAAAATGTTAGTACGAAGACTGAAGGTAGCTTCTTAGAACCTTTTCGAACAGTGATAACTTCGCTACGAACATCTTTCTTCTCAAAATTGTTTTCACATCATGGGCCACTCGGCACATAAAGAAATACTTAAATTTAGCCTTGCCCTTGGTAGTATAAGCTTCCTAGTCCCTCCTCTAGTATTGGAGCATCTAATAGCAAGAAAGTTTTTTGCGTCAAGCTTACATTCTCCAAATAGTATTTTAAGCGCCGTGATCAAATCGAATTTTCTTCTTCTGTAAGCAAGAGTAGGAATGCCCAGATTTGCGTTGCGAACCCGACTGCTTGGAATCTGATCGTATCTGAATCCGACCGTTCTTATCAACAGTTTTTTAGTAAAGCTATTTTGAACCTTTTCTAAATAATCAATTGCTTTTCGCGTGTGCGGACTATATATCATCGTACCATATTCCAATATAGATCTTATGTAAGTCTTATATGCCCTTAGTAAGACTTCAGGGTCGTTGCATGATAGTTCTCTGTAAAGGCTATAAGTAGCCATTGTTGCCTTATCCGCAATTGTCTTACAATGTTTTGTCAAAAAAAAAAGATTGCTTCTAGCCAGAAATCCCAAGATTGAGTCAACAGCTGCAAGCGTTGTTCCTCCCACTGAGTAGCTATATCCAGGATTGCTTGAGCCCATGGGAAATACTTTGGTCTTTTCACGTGAAATAGGCAGACCCCAATCCTCTGACCATCCAGAAACTTCATTCAAGATCTTGTAACTGCTTACGACTAGCTTCATCCGTGACTGTTCTGTACAATTTAAGATCGTCAGCAAATGCGTAGCAAGAAATATCTTTGGACAGTGGTATAAGCGGGAGCTCGTATGTATATATGTCAAAAAGTATAGGCGAAAGTACGCCTCCTTGAGGGACCCCACATCCCATCTTTCTAGGAGAAGAGAACATCTGATTGATATGAACTAGAAATGTCCGCTCTCTTAGAAATGCTTCAATCCAGGATATTATTCGGTGTATTCCTACAGCTCTAAGTTTGATTATCAGTTTGGTGTGTGGTACTTTATCGAACGCCTTAGTGAAATCTAGTTAGATTACGTCAATGTTTTGTCCCCTATCTAGTTGCAATGTCCAATCATTAAGCGTTTGTAACATTGCTGTAACCGTCGATTTACCACGCTGAAATCCATGCTGTGCATTAGAAATCACATTGTTCTCTTCCAAATGCTTAACAATATGTTTTTTTAACATTTTTTGAAAAGGCTTGCGAATATGGATGTTATGCTGACAGGACGAAAGTTTTTAGGACTAGTCAGTGGCTTCTTCTTGGGAATCGGTGTGACGAAAGAGACCCTCCATCGTCCAGGAATTTCAGCTCGCATCATACTCAAATTGAAAATATATTGCAGTGGTCCAGAAAGATTATCTGCAACTGATTTAGTAAACTGTAATTGCAAAAAGTCAGGTGTTAGAGATGTTGATTTAGGCCACCTAGTTAGGAGGAGATAAATGTCTTCACTTTTAAAACAAACCCCGTCTTTCATTGTTGGGAATACTGGAGGCAATTCTCTCTCAGACTCATCAAAGCTTTTTTCTTCAGCGAAAGTCTTTGCAAAAGTATCCGCAAAAAATTCAGCTTTTTCCTTATCATCACTTATAACCACACCATTGTCTCTACGTAAAACTCCCAGCTTGCTTCTGTTTCTAAGCCGTGAATTAATCATTTTATAGAACGCTGATCTTTCTTCAGACTTGATTACCTTTTTCTCAAAAGATGCGTTGTATTTTCTGAGCAGTTTAGTAAATTTAGCATTTAAGGTATTGAAATTGAAACTATCTTTAACGCTGTCACTATCAGCTGCAATCAACCAAGCTCGTTCTCTCATTTGATAGAGTCTAAGGAGATAATCAGGCATATTTGCCAGCCCCATAGGGCGCAAGGACCAGGGTACGTAGAGATCAATCGCATGGTTAATTATTGTTAGAAATAGTTCATACATTTCATTCACCGTGGTGACGGTCATGAAGGATCCATACCAGTCAACACTGGCTAGGTGCTGCCTCATCCCGTTCAAATCTGCATTTCTGAAATCCCTGTACCTGACATACTCAGTATCCCTTATTTCGTAGTGGCTTATTTGAAATCTAAGCGAGGAATGATCGCTGCTACCAAGAGGGGACTCCACGCTTATGTCACTGACCAAATTATCCCTATTTGTGAATATGAGATCCAATAAGTGTTCTTTGCATGTATTGGATTTACCTTGCTGCACAATTTGTAAAGCCTACACATTTGGATGAGGTTTCTGATAGATATGGACGCTGGTTCTGAGGTGGAGTGGTCTTCCCAATTCACTTTTGGTAGGTTGAAATCTCCCATAAGGACTGCCGAATTTTGACGGGCTAATAGATCGGTAAGTCGCAGAGTGGTAAACGCCATAATGTCGTAACACAAAATTTCGTAACCCTCTAACACAGACTCTCTAAACACTAAAAATGAATTTAACTTCTTTTCAATGGCCAGTAGTACCCCTCCTCCCCTCTTGTCTAACCTGTCACATCTGTGTATATCATAGTCCCGAGGCAAACCTCCGAAAAGAGAGCTATTAGAAATATTCTCGTTCAACCAAGTTTCAGTTATTGCTACTATAGAAATCTTATGTTTGGTAAAAATAAACCTGAGATGATCCATATTCTTGCACAGAGAGCGCGCATTAGCAAGCATACACTTCAAGAAGCTACCTTCAATCCGGGAAATCATTGACTGTTCAAAGGCACACGCCCCGGCGTACCATGTTGCGCGTTTTCGGATAAACCATTTTGTCCAATACAATCGATACCTTGTGTTAGTCTTTGTTGATGATCAAAATGCCTTGCGCTGGAACGAGTGCCCCTTTCGTTGCGTAATCTGTCCCTCTCTTCTTTTTTAAGAGAGGAACGGATGTAGATCCCATGTGCATATGGGAAACTTTTCAACTTAGGTGCCCTCTTCAGCGCAAGGTTTACAAAAAACGGGACGACATTACTATTCTTAAGAGCCTATTATAAGTGGGATGAGGTTTTCCCATCCTATACACGGAAATGGGGATGCAGTCAATAGAGAGGTAGTCAAAAAGCTGATTAACACAATCCCAATCATGGTTTACTCTCAGCCAACTACTAGGGCATCTATTCTCTGGAACACCGCTTATCACTAAAGAATGGAGACGATCACGTTCTTCACACGTACAACCGGAATCTGAACTGGAATTTGATGTAGATGTAGAAGATTGAGTGGAGGGCAAAGGTTGCGGCGGAGATCGCTCACTACAAGATCTTAGGCGCTCATTATCCTTACGCAATGTATTGATTTCCTCACTCATTGTTTTAAGTTGAACAAGTAACTCACGATTCTGTTCGGCGACCATTTCATAGAGTTTCCGATTCTCCATCAAAAACGCCACGATGGTTCTTGTGTAAAGTGGGAGATTCTCGTCTTTTAGTAACTCTTACGCGGCTTGGTTGAAGTCTGGAGGTGTGGCGTCGCACTGTATCCTGCGCTTCTTTTGCCGTTCGATGGGATTGAGGGAATAAATGGGGTTTCTGTCGCCATCGTGGGGAGGTAGAAGGGCTTGAATACAGGATTAACAGAAGAATTTAGCCAGAGTCGTAAGGACGTACGGGAGCACGGCAGAGGGATCACAAATCGACCGCTCGCGGGCAGGCCAGGGTGCCGAATGGCAGGCCAGGGTGCCGCATCAGGTTCGGGGGCAATACGCGTAACGGCTACCAAAATCCGAGATGCGGATCACGGTGGCCGCCGGATAGCGCGGCAACCGCTGATCCCGGCATCCTTTTCTCAAGGATTGCCTTGCATCGCGAGAGACAAGCGTCATTTCCGCGCTGGGCTACTGGGCTACTGGGCTTCTCTTTTTTACAACTCAAGATAGCAAAAGCACGCTGCTGTAAGTTAACCTACAATATTTATGCCTTATTATTTGTGCCGAACTATAGTTGTACTGCCTATAATGTGGTTTACGCAACCACGATCCTTGCAGATCTAATCGCAGTGCACTCCAAAAATGGAGATGGTAAAGCTGTCTTTCTTAGGCCGCATGCATTGACATTCCCGCCGGCGAGGGGTTAAAAGAAAGCTTCACGTGCTAAAGCTCCAGATATTTGATTTCACGTTGTCTACCTATCCGTAAGTAGTTCCACCATCTTTCACTATGAACATCATGAAAGAGAACAAGAAGCTGTACAAGCCGCATTTTCCAGCTTTTTGTATGTTCCCCTGATGATCTCTCGCGGCCGACCGTCTTCTCTTCAAAGTAATTCTTTTTTTTTCAAAGTCAATAAAACATTTCAAAGTTGTGCTGTTTATCCACCCAACGGTGCTAATGATGTTCTTGGTAAAAACTAGTGATGTTTCGAAGTCATGAAATTTGCGACGAACCGCAACTCGAAAGTTGGGGTTTATCAAAAAAATTGACATCCCAAAAACTCATTTGTTCTTGTCAGTAACATGCTTAGCTATGTTAGGTTTGATAATTAGCACAATTCTGGAAGGTTTTTTCGTTAACTTCAAAGGAAGAAAAATGACTTTGAAGAAAACACGTTTGGCCGCGAATCATCACGAGATCACACAAAAAGCTGGAAGCGGCTTATACAGCTTCTTGCTCCCGTTCAATATGTTCATAGTGAAGGATGGTGGGAATACTTACGAATAGATAGACAGCGTGAAGTCCAGATTTCTGGAGCATAAGGATATGAAGCTTTTTTCCGAAGCTGCGATTTCCTCCCCGGTGGGGATGTTGATGCATGCGGCCCTTAGGGAGACGACAGAATGTCGACAAAGCGATCAGTGTTGTGAAAATTAGCTTTTACAGCTAACACGCCGTAGACTCAACTTAGGGCTGTTTCAGCTGAGCTGGGATGACAGAGATCTACAGAGATTCATGTCTACATTTTGCAATTATACTTTAGCCGTGTTGCAAAAACTTGCTTGTTATTTCCTTCTTATAATTCCAGTGTTTTCACTCCATTCTGATCGCTACTTTTTGTTTCAGGAGTGCAGCGAGATCGTTATAGACATGTGTTCAAGAGGAGGCAAAAACGATTTCTTCTGGGATGAGTGTCAGACAGACTCCACGGCTTTGCTAATAGAGCAATGCAATGCAACCTTTTCATCGTAAGTTCAAAACTTCAACTGTAGACCAAAATATGGCGAAATCGCAGGTATCATTGGACAACAGATGTGTGGAACATCAATGCTGTACCATTGCTATATGGACTATCCCTCAACAGCGTTAGCAACATTATTTTGACGTGGGAAGAAATGATTTCGTCTTTGCTGCATAATTTACCATTTTATTATTTCGGTTTGCTGTATTTAGACAAGGAGAGCTGGATCCATGGTCTGGAGGAGGTTACGCCACAAACTCTCCAGGAGTTAGTCAAGACCGAGGCATCTATGTAATGAAGATACCTGGATCAGCACATCATTTGGATTTGCGGACACCAAATACTTGTGATCCCAACACGATTGCAAACGCCAGATATCAGGTGCGTGAAGGAGCCCATGGGATGCTTTCTATAAGCTGAACTACCGAAATGGCCTTGACTCAGCCTTTTAAGACTTTTCTAGCAATATAGTCATTACTTGATGCATTATTGGAAATTTCAACTATCGAATTAGTTAATTTTGTACCAATTTACTTTGAAGTTGTCTTAGCATTGATGGGGACATCAATTATCACCTTTGTAGTTATCAGCACTAAAGCCGTGTATGATAGAAATACAGTGACCGCCAAGAAGTGCGGACTAATCGCCTTCCTTTTTTCATCGCTAATTTCCAATTCAAAACAAAGATGTAAAATTATCGGACGTTGATATGATGGAGCTTTCCAAGAGCTACAGTGCACACAATGCAATTCTCAAAAAACATGGGTTTATAAGAACTGAAAATCTTTTATCAAAAAAGTCCAAAAAGGGCTGCGTCACAATATCGCGGGCAACATCTCATCAAACGCGAGAATCTTCTTCCAGTTTCTTTTTTGAAGCGGAAAAACAGGTAAGTACACAGGTAAGCATGATACTACATACAGCTCATCAGGAACTACAGTGTAGTTAGCTGCCTAAAAAATCACCAGCTTAAATTTTATTTTAGAGACTAACTTTCGAAGCAGAAACGATCAGAACTAACCCCAGCCATAACAAATAAGCTATATATCGTCGTACTTGACTTGAGACGCTGATTTCAAATATATATATATATATATATATATATATATATATATATACAGGGTGTCCCAAAAAGATGTGCCACTGTTTGATCGCTAATAACTCTCTTGCTTTCCTGTCTTTTGCCGAGCTTGAGGCACCATAGAGCGAGGTGCAACTTAGATCCTCAGTATGAAGCAAATTATCAGCCGCTCTTCATTACCGTAGGATTACGGAAGGAATTTCGAGGAGGTTTTTAAGTCATTGAAAGCAGTATTTTATCTTAGAAAGAGAGCCAAGCAAGCCAGAAACTCTTGAAATGGGTTAATCGAAGTCGCTGATTCCAATGAAATTGCATGTCTGTACAGTGTTTTATTCATGAGTTATTTCAGACTAGGGTGACAACTGATTCTCCAATGTTCGTCAGAAATGTGATTATGCCATCGAAAAAGCTCGAAAAACTGGTGGGAAGTTATTAGTAAAATCAAGACGCCGGAAAACCTTGCCGCACATATTTTCAGATTATCTTAGAATTATTTCGTCAAAAGGCCTATTCCACAGTGCCGCTGTATGCTAAAATTTCACACCGTTATCCTACAGTAGTGAAAAGTGATTGGTGATTCGCTCCATACTGTAAATCTGATTATCCTCGGTCTACAAAACGGTACCTCTAGCTCGGCAAAAGACATCAAAGAAAGAGAGTTATTAACGATCAAACAGTTTGCACAACTTTTTGAGGCAGCCTGTATGTTTATTATCTGCCAAGCGACTATTTGGACGGAATCATGAGCTTTGAATGTGCGATTTGTCAAGTGTTCTGTGAGGCATGACCACAAAATGCGTTTCGAAAACATCAGCTTAGGTTTTCGGTGAATGTATCTTTCTTGTAATTAGAGCACCTATATCCATTGTAAATCCGCGCCATCAAAATTGTCTTTCAACCAATTATATTCGTTGAAACTCAAATAATTTTTCATATCCAAACACTCATAACTCGGTCCAAATAATCGCGTTGCAGATAAGAAAGCATATAACTGAAATCAGCGTTTCAAGACAAGCCCGATGATATACAGCATGTTTGAAATAACTGAGTTTAGTTCTGACCAGGGTCAAGCAAGGGGTGTGGCACAGGATCGCTGAGTAAGACCCTCCCCCCCCTCCTCCTAGTGGCCATCATAGTAAGCCCCCCTCTAAACTACTGCATTCCTAAAATGGGCATAACTTGAAGGCCACAAGCATAGCGAGTAAGCATGTCAAGTAACCCCTGTGGACGAAGCGGACGAAAAATGAAATTTCCAGATACTGGGCCATCTAAGTGAGATGGTCATTTTCGAACATGATCAACTTGTTTCAAAAATAAATTAGCTACCTCAATTTGCACTCACTACAAAGCGCTGCTCCTTCTTTGCCCACCTCAGAAATCCCGGTTCAAAAAACCTTCAAGTAGAATTAGAAGCCAACCACAATCTCGTTTTTTCTATTCTTCGCTCTGAAAGTTTTGACTTTGGGTTTTGACCATTCCCTTGTGAGTGCAAAAAGAGGCATCTAATTCATCTTTGAAACGAAGTCAGTCATGTTCGAAAATGACCATCTCACTCAGGCCGCCCAATATCTGGGAATTTCAGAACTCGCCCAAACTTCATCTACAGCTATTTGAAATGCTAATTATGAACATATTACTAGCTATGATTGGTAGGGCATTTTTATCATGCTACAGTAGGTATGACGAGTCAAGATACACGTGCTTATATTTCGCATAATGGGGTTATCTCTAACTGCTTGAAAACAACATGTTATCACTATTATGTCAGTTTACTCAATCACGACCCCCTTCCCGTTGTAACTCTTCAATAAGACCCCCCCCCCAGGTGTGGCGTGCCACACCCCACGCTTGACCCCGGTTCTGATCATTTCCTACTAAGCAAATTTTTTCACACAGAAACGGATTCAAAACGTCTTAACAAAGCCGTTTTGATAAAATATGCTGTTTTCCATGCTCTATGCATCGGTCGTGTGCTGGTGAGTTTCTTTCCCTGAAATGGCTCTTGGCAGTGCGTGCACATGATCCCACTGGCACCTCACCACTACTTGTACAGCTTTGCAAGCTGTAGCTCGGCCAGCAGTCAATCTCTGAGCTTCTGGCAAGCTGATTTAAAAGAGCGAGATTTCTACGGCACAGATATATGTAATGAGGTGAGTTTAAGAAATACTGGGAAATGCAAAGAACGGTTTTAAAAAGCGCAGCTTCAGGGTGGATTGAAAACTTTTCAGGAAGGTCAAGGAGAGCTCCTTGTTATTAGGTTGTAACAGAATTAATGCAGGTTTTCTGGATTTTGTGTTTGGATCATTATAACTTTTCATACAAATAGTCTTTTAGTGTGCAACAAAAATTGTTGTAATCAGCAAACCTTTTTCTATTCGGTATGCATTATTGCGTTGTTGTAGCTTCACTGAGAAAATTCTTATAGCTTCAATTCTGGCAAGAATTTTTTTCGGAAAACCTTCACTTTGAGAAACCATAACTTACTATCAAATATAGTAAGATAGCGCAAATATGACTCACTGTGTAGCCTATGGTCGATTATGCAGCAGCGCTAAATTCGGGATTGAAAAAGAGCTTCCAAGTCCCGTTTTCATGAAACCTGGGCATGTGTCGTAAGTTCAAATTTCTTTTGTGCCGTACAGGTTTGAGAAGTGGTCTTTATTTCTTCCAACCACGGCCTTACGTTTCGACGCCTTTCGTCTTCCTCAGAGGCCTGAATGGTTCTAAGTGTCATCCGTAATTCCAGACCACCAAGCGTTTCCTCCAACTCTGCTAGTTTTCGACCTTCTCACAATCTCGCTACCAAATAAAATGTCAGTGTAGAGGACATACCGGAAGACCACTGCAACTCGAGTAGTCTGCACCGGATATAGGCAGTCGCGGCAGACGAGTGAATCATACTGTAGATACACCAAGATGATCTACAGTTATAAATCACATAACGATACGAACGGGAGGAAGTCACTAGTTATTGATAAACACTCGTTCTTATTCTTCATCTCAGGATTCTTGGTAGTAATCCAGAATGCTTCCAAAGCTTTTCTAGCCGAGATCTCTGTTTCATACGCAAGAATTTTACACTTGACATTAAAGTCTTCTCCACCGTGCGCGCGTCTCTATGCCTGCCAAGTGCCGAGCCCAAATTTCTGCGCCTTTTATCGGCCAAGTGTTCTTTCATGCGAATACCCAAAACTCTACCCGTCTCTCCTATGTATATTGCTTTGCAGTCAAGGCATTCAATTTGATAAACGACTCCCACTTTTGCACAGTCCCCAACTTTACCGTGCGGGCATACTATGCATTGCTCGTTGTACAGTATCGGTCGTAGAGCCTATTCCGGACTAGTTGCTTTTTGATATTATCGTTGAGGATGTTAACTAGAACAACATCATTTTGCAACTGGGCTCGAAAAATGCATCGCTGAAACGCCGCGGTAATCTTATCTGAGATGAAGGGAAGGCAAAGTGGGAGCTTGTTGGTACTTGAATGTTGGCACCATTCCTAGATTGTCGACAACGAGGTAAGTCATGGTAACCATTACTGCAAGCAATTCGAGAAGCCAAATTTCGTGATTTGCAGCGTTCTTTCTCTCCAGAGCGCATCTGCATGGCCGTCTTGTACATATTGGTGACAAATGCGCGTTTTACCGATGCAGGATGTGCGGACTTGACATTTATTAAGATGTTCTTAGAGCTTTCCTTGCGGTACCATTTTACCTTAACAATGCCATTGGATAAATTCACCTGTGCGTTAAGATATGGCAGCCAACCGTCGTTCGGTTTTTCGCGTGTGAGTCTAATGTACTGCGACTGCTGGTTCATGATTTTAAAACACTCGTCCATTTCGGACTGTGTTGATGTAATGACACAGCAGTCGTCGATGTAGCGGCAGTACATCAGAGGCGTACGAGCTAACACCGGTTCCTCAACTTTGCTCATAAAACAAATAGCGAGGACTGGTGCTAGTCTTTGACCCATAGCTAGTCCGCGTATCTGGGAATAGTATGTCCCAGACCATCTGAAGATGTTACATTTCAGGCACTCGCTAATTAGGGCCATCGTTCGCACTTTGCCAAGTCCGTACATGTTTATGGTACCAGCGCACGTATCCAACATTTCCGATAACGCTTGTAAAGCTTGGTCGTTCTGCACATTAGTATACAGTGATGTTACGTCAAACGACTCTACAACAGCGCTCGTGCCAAGCTTGGCGTTGTAAAGATTTTCGATGAATCTCTGTGAGTTGGGTAAGTGTGAATGAAGCAATGAAGAGCCGGTGAGAGTCACAGTTGGTAACACTCACGTAGCATCTGATGTTATAAAGCTTCTCAGTCTTGATC